TGGGGTTTGGGGCCTTCTTATCACTGGTGTTGAAATGCAGGTGTACCAATTTGACCCTGAAACAAAGCACCAAATATCAGGTTTTGCTCGGGGACAGGCACAATGAGAAACCTAAAAGACTCAGCCCTCAGGGACTCTGGGCAGCTAGAAGGAAATAGAAGGGTGTGCAGTACCTAAGAAAGAAGGGATATTGAAAACAAAGATTACGTGGGCGACTTGGAGACCTCTTTCAGTTGTACTCAGCTTTAGTATGATGAAAATATTGAAAAGTTATTTCAACCTCAGAATCAGTTTCTTTTCTTCTGTGATTCTTGGATAGATGCTTTGATTTGTGGTATTAAAGCTTTACAGGTGGATTCTGCCCTTTTCATTTTAATAGAGTCATTCCATTTATTGTGAGACAGTTTGATATGCATCTTCCAAACAAGCACCACCAAAGTCAAGGTACTCCCTTGAGAATGTGGAGAAAACACTCAAAAAAGAATAGTTCCTCTGAAAAAATGTCTTTGCATGGTATGGGAGTTTCTCTTGTGTTTGGGGGGATGTTGAAAATCTGGATTTCAGAAGGTTTTGTGTTTGTTTGTTTGTTTTTTGAGACAGAGTTTTACTCTGTTTCCCTAAGGTAGAGTGCCATGTGTCATAGCTCACAGCAACCTCAAACTCTTGGGCTCACGTGATCCTCTTGCCTCAGCCCCAGAACTAGCTGGGCTATAGGCACTTGCCACAACATCTGGCTTTTAGAGACAGAGTCTGGCTCTGGCTCAGGCTGGTCTAAAACTCCTGAGCTCAAGAAAATCCACACACCTCAGCCTCCCAGAGTGCTGGGATTTCAGGCTTGAGCCACCGCTCCTGGCCTTGAGTTTCAGTTTTGACTGCAGCTCTTCATTTTCCCTGATTTAAATGTCCCCGTCTCAGCTCTTTATGAAGTGTGCAGATTTCCTTACGGGTCTCCTAGGAGTCACTAAGAGACTCGGTAACTATATACCTTGTTGCTATAATTGATGCTCTTTCGTTGCTGTAATTCCTTCTTAACATTACAATTTTAGTCAAGTATTCTTTCCCGCTGGAGGCATTAATTATTGCCGGTTTTGAAAAACCTTTCCTTGGTATGTACATTTTTGCTTCTGGTGCCAAATCACGTCACCGTTTCCTAGTCTTTGTCTAGATGGAAGAATTTTTTTACATGTTTTCTTTACTGTTCAGCATACTCCACACCCTTTCTAACCACTATAGGATAATTTACAGTGTTGCCCGCCAGTCGGAAAGTCAGCATTCTTCATAGTTCCACGCATTTCACCAATTTGTGGTCTTTATCTCAGGGTAGAGGATTTAAATGTAGTCTTATTTGCTCTTTATTAGCTGTGAAATTATTGGTCACTGAGGTTTATGAGAGCAAATCCCCTTGTTAAGGAGTTACCCATGGTTTATAGCGTATCATTGAAAAAAATGGTTATTATCCCGTGACAAAGACTTCATTGAAATATGAAATTGAAAGGCAGGATATTTCTTGAAATGCAGCAGAGTGTTCTGGGAAACATTCTCTTATTTGAAGTTAAGTAAATTTTTCTTTAGAGATACTTTATGTAAAGATATAATTTATGTCTTAGTCCATTCAGGCTGTTATAACAAAATACCATAAACTGGGCAGTATATAAACAACAGAAACTTATTTTTCATTTTTCAGGCTGTTAGGAAGTCAAAGATAAAGGGGGCAAAGGGGCCAGCAGATTCACTGCTGGTTGAGAGCCTGTTCCCTTATAAAAGGCTTCCTCTCTCTGGGTCCTCAAGTGGTAGAAGGAGTGAGATAGCTCTTCAGGCTTCCTTTATAAGGGCACTAATCCCACTCAGGAGGGCGCAGCCTTTACGACGTCATCACCTCCCAGAGCCACCACCTCCTAGTACCATCTCCTTGGGGGTTAGGATTTCAACCTAGGAGTTTGGGGGAACATAACATATTTAGACTGTAGCACTGTATTGTTATCACACTTCATAATCTTCACACACACACGTGTATATACACACATCTATTTCCAGTCAGAGAAAGAGATAACTATTTAATTATTACAGTACAAAAAGCTATGTACACTAGGAAAGGTTTTGAAATAAAATCAATACCTTTCAGCTAGTTGTTACTGAGTCCCCACACAGAGACTATCCCCGTTCTAGGTACTACTAGAGAGAAAGCAGTTAAGCAGATAAACAAATTCACCACTCTCACAGAGCCTAAGTTCTGGAAAGTGATGCAGACTTCACTTCCAATTTAAATATGCTTTGTTCTTCCTCATCTGATTATTTACTACAGGGTCTCATATCCTCCATCCAGTAGGAACCAGTTCTCCAAGTTCAGAGCGATAATTTGTGTTTTTAATGCTTAGAATTATGTGATCTATCCTAAAGTCATCTGCTTCTGAAAGTAGTAAAAGTCCATTTAATTATATAAAAATGAAATGCACTGAAATTTATTATTATTTCACTGAACATAAATCAGGAAATAGATTCAATATACATTACCTAAGGATTGACACTTCCAGCCCCTTAGCCATGTGTTTCCGTAAACGTATTTTCTTGTTCATTTACTGCTACATTTTGAATCGTTGCCTCTGCCCCAGATGGCTGTTGATGTCTCTCCCTTGAGCCTGGATGAAACCATTTCTCTCCAAGGCCAAGAGTTTTCTACAAAATAATAGAAAACCTTGGCCTGACCTACACAAAACACTTGCTCATTATCATATTATATAGAACTGAAAAGCAGAATCGATGGAAAGGATTCAGTATGGTCCCTTTTTAAATTTGAACTTACCTGGTTTTATTAAATACAAGAACATAGTGACTCAGTGTTTTTATGAACATCTTGCTCCCTACCTTCACGCCCTCAAGTATGTTATTGACCCCAGCTTATTGATGTATCTACATTTAACTTATATACGTTGTGTAATTTTTAAAGACTTTAAGTTGATGACTTAATACAAAAAATAACTGCATACCTCCAACTCTACCATGGAAATATAAAATATTGTCTTGACCATGCAGAAATCCTCCTTTAAGGGTAAATTTTAATACTACTGGTAACAAAAGTCAATTTCCACTGTTGCACAAGAATTATGGAAACTCCCCAGGGTGACCCCCAGAATAGTAGGGCATTCTCTCCGTTCTGCCGTGGGGTTCCTCTGACATAAATGTCGTTCTGTGCGTGTTCTCTCAGGAGGTCGAATTGTGCCGTGTTAGCAGTCAAGAGAAGCTGGGCCTGACAGTCTGTTACCGAACAGATGATGAGGAAGACACCGGCATTTATGTCAGCGAGGTGAGAAATGCCATGAGGGGAGGAGGGCTGGGGCGGGAAGGAGTCAAATGACTCACCAGGAGAAAATCCTTCTTCAGACGCTTGAATGTGAAGAATTGGCCATGTTCCAACACTTGTCACTTTCAATTAGGAAAGTGAATTATGCTGCCCAAGTAATATAATTATTATCAGCTTGTTTAATGTGGATGCTTTTCCCCCAGAATCCCAGCAAGGAAAAGTGCAAAAATGGTAACACTGCTTCAATTTGAATAAGGTCCCGTGAGCATTCAGGAAGTCAAGAAAAAATTTTGATCTGCAGGCATCTGACCTTCCAGCCCATTGTCCTGACTTCTGTGAACAGCAGCATTGACTGTTGTAAATTCTCTTTCACAATAATCACGTTTTTCACTTTGCTGATGAGATTGATAAATCTGAACACCCAAATAGTGCGTGTATTAGTTTGTTTTATTCAACCTTATAATCACTTTCCAGAGGGAGGTACTTCGGTGTAAGACACCTTTTATGTTAATTACTTTGAAAAACTGTGAAGCAAGATTTATTAACATAGATGACTTTCTTAAATCCCTAGAAGCATTATTTTATAAGTGGTAATGTATTATTAATTATATATACATAATTATGCAATTAAAAATTGTACAAAAATTATACATAGAAACATCAAAATTATACAATGTACACAGAAACATCAAAAATTATACAATATACATAGAAACATATATATGCCTATATACACATCGAATCTAACTCTAAGTACTAATTGTTCTATGCTGTTCCAAGTTTTCTTGGCCACGATCTTGACAACATTAGCTAACATACTAAACTTTAGCTTCTTCAACTAGAAAGGGTATAACGATGCTTACCTCATTGTTTTTACAAAATTGCTTAGAATATGAAAGAAGTAACTAATGGACTCAGGAAACTACACAGCTCCCTAAGTGCAAACTTTTACCTTTGTCACTTTAAAAAGAATTTACTGACTGGCTTCTCCAAGGGAAAAATCTCTCTGGAGAGGATAATCCCTCGGATTAAGGTGAGGAAGTCTAAGAAACACCTGCTGGATTATCTTTTGTGATATCTGCCGAGGTAGAAAGATAGACGTTTAGTATTAGTTTGATTGTAGTTCTAAAGCCAACATGTTAGGTTGTCAAGGGCTTTTTAATGGGATACAATTGACTGATCATCACTCACTTCCCTCCAGTAAGTCTCTATTTACTATTTAAATATGTCAGATAAGGAACTTCATTTTTCAGGGAAAGCAAAGAAGCCACAGGATCTGAACACATGTGTGGAAGGCATGTCTTTCTTGTACCTCTTGTATATAATTACAGCGTGTTTTGTTCTTGACTGATTACTCAAGCCTGAGGAATTAGGTAGCACTCCTAATAAATAAGTAGTATCTAACATCTGGACGGGATAGACCAACCTCATGCTACACTTGAAATACTTTTCTTGAAAAAAGCTTGAATGCAACAACCTAAATAATTAGTCTGAGGCCATCAGGTGAAAACTGATAGATGGAATCACCCTAAGACTTCGTTCAAGTTTGAAACATTAAAATATTAATAAGATGCTAATAGACCCTTAAATATCTATTTATTCTAAAATGATTTATAGTTAAAATACTTCACCCTCTATGTAAAGTGGTGCTGAGTAACTAAATGTATCAATAGGATTATTTTGTGTTTATTGAGGGATATATATTGTAAATCTCTTTATATATTAATGTGCTCATGAGACAGAAATCCCTTTAATAAATATAGACTTACAGTATAGCTATCAGCTTTTCTAAGACAGCTAGGGCAGGATTTAAAAGTCACCTCAGGAGGAAGTGAATTTTCTGGGTCAGAGAATCCTAGTATTAACATCGTCTCATGTCAGCTGAAGACCACATCTGACAGTTGGGGTGCAGAAATGAATGAATGAATATAAAAAAGAAAAGAAGGAAGGAATGGAGAGCAGGAGGAGGAATGGTGGGGAAAATGATCATCAGATTAAGTTCAGTCGTATTCTCCTTAAACATATTATTGTTTATTCTAAAACAGTTCATTTACATTTTCAGAACCGGTGATTTTTGGTGGAGAAAAATGTGACATGCATTGTCATAAATCAGTAGAAAACTTTGAAGCAAAGTTTGAACATTTTTTAATCATGTTTTTAATTTCTTTCCTTTTTTTTCTTTTTTCCTTTTTTTGCAGTTTTTGGCCAGGGCTGGGTTTGAACTCGCAACTCCAGCATATGGGGCTGGCACCCTACTCCTTTGAGCCACTGGCGCCACCCCATGTTTTTAATTTCTTAAGAGACTATTGTATATCAAGTTGAAGATGTGTGTCCTTTCCCCGACAGGTGGATCCGAATAGCATTGCTGCCAAAGATGGCCGAATTCGAGAAGGGGATCGCATTTTGCAAGTATGTGGTGTGGTTATTTTATAAGTTTCACATTGTCTGTCTGACAGTTTTTATTTTATTTTGTATCTTATAAAATATTAGAGAAAAGAATTTGTCTTTGCTTTTGGATAGTAATATCTACAAAATAAAAAAGCTATCATTTAAAACTCTTAAAGTTAAGGATGATGCCATTTATTAAGAGTTATTAGCTAATCATTAGTAGTTCAGATACAGTCTCTGGAGTCAGATTACCTTATCTCCACTTCCAACTCACCACTTTTCTGGGCACATCATTTAATGTCCTCTCATCATAATCCACTTCGTCATCATAAATATGGTAATAATAGCCTGGTCTTGGTGTGAGTGTTAAATTGGGTTGTTTATGTCATACGCTTAGCCCAGTGCATGGTAAGTGCTCGATGAACAATGGCCACTAGCGCTAGCAGCATCTGTTATTGCTACCTTTCCCAAAATAAATTAGGTAAATATGGATCTAAATGGTCCTTTACTATGTGAAATTCTAGAATTTAGAGTAATTTTCAACTAGTCATGTGTCACTTAATACATTCTGAGAAATGCATCCTTAGGCGATGTTGGCATTGTGTGGACACCACAGAGTGACTTACACATACCTAGGTGACTACCCGCCTGGTCTGGGTGGTGTGGCCTGTTGCTCCTGGGCTGCAAACCTGGACAGCATGTTATTGTACTGGATACTGCAGGTGAGAATTTTTGTATCTAAACATTGGTAAACATAGAAAAATACAGCATAAATATGGTATTATAATTTCATGGGACTGTCATCATAATCTATGCAGTACATGGTTGACTGAAAGGTTGTTATGCAGTTCATGGCTGTATTTACTAATGAGTTCCCGGGGCCAGGTGGCAGAGATCGCGCTATGTTCCCCACATGGAAATGTGAAAACATGGAGACTGATTAAATTTCAGTTTAAGGAGAGAAATGGTAAGCAGATCATCGGAGGGATGCGGACAGGCCTGGAAAGAGTTTCAGGCCAAATCAGAAAGAACTGAAAGCCAGTTTCTATCCTAAACCTACCCCAGCTTGCTTGGCCCTTTCTGAGTCCCTTCCATAAAGAAAGGCTGGAGAAAGACACCCAGGCTCCCCGGCTCCTGTGTTCAGATGAACCCCCAGGTAAGAACAGGGGCCCCTTTCACTGCTGATCATGACTGTGAAGCAGAGAGGAGGGTTTGGATGATAAGTTGGGGGGGGGGGTGACAAGCTGTTAACACGTTCTGCACAACTTTCAGTCACATGCAGAGCTCGAGTCCTCGTTTCTCCTCGCTGGAGACAGACCCCTGGAGGGCGTTTCTTTGGATTCCACACTTTTGGATTTAACTCTCTGCCGAGAACCAGGGCTTCAAAAATAGACAATAGACAAATGTCATCCCAGGCGGGGTGCTCCTTCCCTGTGTAATTACGGAGCCACAGACCATGCCGGTGCAGTGTGACATCCTCACGATCAAGTGCCCAGCCTTCTGCTGTTCTCTGCCTCCCTCATGGCAACACTCTCCGAGTCACCCCACTTCTTCACCTGTTCTTTCTTCAACTACACACCACAGAACCCCTTTCTGGGGTGGCTGTTGTTGTATCGCAGACTCTCTGCTAATGTTCCAATTAGGAAAGAATAAAAAGCACTAATTAGAGATCTTTGGTGTCCCACTGGTTTTCAGAAAACCTCAAGAGTATGTAATTTCTGCTTACCCTAAATGGTGATGTGTAAAAAAAAAAAGGAATCTCATCTGTCATCTATCAAGGGAGGGAGGAGTGAGTCAGGAAACCAAGACATGGTCTGGTTTTCCCATAACTGTTGTGGCTTCTTTCACACCTACTCATGAATCAATCAGTGAACGAAACAAAGGTGTTCAGTGGAAAGAATGATAGGAGAGGGGATGAAAACTTGCAGGAGAGCTTGACTTGTAGTGTAGCCTCATTAAGACACTAAGGCCATTTTACTATTACCCAGATAAAGAAACCTTCAAAAATGTGTTATTATTTTTTTTTAATTTTGAAATAATCTGTACATGTTTTGGTCATGTTGTAAACATTTCCAGTTAAGCATACTGAAAATAATCTACCCTTTGGACGCCCAGGGTCACATTGTACCCAGCAGTCATTATACAATGCTGGTAATGGGGCAAAGTGACTGAAAGGTCTGGGAGATTTGTGCCCAGACATCAGATAACTCTATTTGGCTACGTCTTCTGATGGACTGGGTCTATCTATCTTGTCATTTTTCTTCCTCTCCTTTTTGGGGTTGCCAGCTGTCACTTCTTCCCTTCACCATCAACTCCCCACACCTCTCACCTCCCGCTGGCTGTCCCTGGC